CCATCAGATACAATAGGCCATTGTTTTTACGAAAATATGATCTAGGTATTGAAACACAATTTCCGAGAAGTGGTGCCAACCTTCTACTTAGGGCCATTTCATACAAGCACATAATCTGGATCTGACTCAATTAAAACATCTTTTACTGTTGCTTCAATAGGTCTACCACCTGAGAATAAGTTAACAATCTCAAGATTCATCATATAGTTAACTTTTAAATATATAGGCAAGGTCAATTGAATGTGTCAGCGAACATTTATTTCCTTGAAGGTACCAGCTTCTTTAGATCACCCTTCTTTATTTTATGTTTCTTTAGAGCCATTCGCATGCCCTCGAGACCCAAATAGAGTCTGAGGTGGCGGAACAGAGCGAGCTGCGCCAACGACTTTCTCGTCTTCAGTCTGAACTTAATCAGGCTGTTGGAGATCGCCAACGCAATCTAGTAGCGCTAGAGCACCTAGAGCAATTGCTAGGTGATTTTTCTGGAACCCAAGATAACTTAAAGACTTGCTCTGACACATTAGAATCAGCCGGGGGAATGCTGACAGTTCAACTACAAACAAGTGATGCTGAGCCTTTGCCGATTGCAGCAGACGTGGTAAACACAAATTGCTCTGCTTCACAAAACCAAGACGATTTGCGGATGTCTCGGATGATGGCGCAGGTATGACAGCTTGAATTTGATCATAAACTTGTTCCCATTACGATAAATTGAAGCATAAAAATCTTTACATAAGTTTGTAATTTAAGCTAATTATGCTTGCTTATTGGGATAATCTTACTTGAGCTACTTGCGTTAGTAAAATTTTCGTAATTCCAGTTTGCAGTTTACTTTTTTTTCCGGGAAGTTCAAATAAAAAATATAAAGGGAAGTTGGGTTTCGAAGAATTCCTTAATACCTACTGGCGTACCTTTCATTTCGTTTGAGGCGGGTCGAAGGGATTCGTAGATTGGCCACACCGGATACCGCAGGATGGTTGCCTCGGACATTTGTATGTTGAATTGTCCGAGGAAACCCTCGAATCCCCGTCCTACGAGCCCGATGACTCCGTGCTGAGCTTTTGTCCGTCATGTGACGGACATCATTAGAGCCAGATACCAGTATTCACGAAAAAATCACCAAAAACACTAAACCGAGAAAGGTGGCCAGCTGAGATCCTACTTACTACTTATACCTCATTGCGATCCTAATGAGGCATTTCATGATTTGGTTGGCTTACTTATGCTTCTCCTAAATGCATGTAAGTTGGTCAAAGTGATGCAGGAAAGAGAGCGGATGTGGTCACAACTCGCCATGCTACCAGATAGCAAAGTCATCATCCACATATCTGACCATTAGTTTCCGAACTAGCAGTGACTCTTGTGAAATCCGGACTCCCGATTGAGCCATGTAGTTATTAGCTAAAATTGGAGGTGAACACTATACATACGAGGCTATCAGAAAACAGAATCACCTGTAAAGGTTCATGAATTCAGAAATAGGAAGTGACTGAACATGTGGTCGCTACAGGACATCAGATAGAGTGGTCTAAATCCCAACATTTTGCTGGATATGGAGACTTCACCGCTAAGCAGAAGATCAGGGAGTCGATTAAAATTAACAAA